TAAAACTCCTCAGTCATCGTGCAAACGCAGAGTAAGAAATCAGCTGTAGCATAAACCTGCTATGAAAAGAAAGACCCCAGATCCATGTTTCCCTGGCTGTACCCAGCAGGATTTATTAACCATAACTGGGGTTAACTGCTCGTGTTGTTGTGCAGAGCAGTGTGTGTGATTGGTCAAATGTGCTATCAGCTGATCTGTACCATAGCAGGTGACTGAAGGGCTTTTTGTTGCAGAAGTTTTGCTTTTTTGCAGTTTAACTTCATTTTACACAGTGTAAAAAGATTCATCTGCATGGGTCTGTCATTCATATTTGATTGTTTGTGCCTTTTTTACTTGTAAAAACAAAGTTTCTTAATGTGTGCTTGCTGTTTTCTTTTAAGCCTAAATAACCTTGATGCTTCTTTGCTTTCTGCTGCAGAGCTGGGGTCGGTTCACCTTGTCAAAATCAATCGTTTATTGACGACTTTTGAGTTTAACAGCCTTCTTAGTGCAGATATTGTGTGTGTAGCTGTTGTGTTGAGGTGAGTTAGACCCAGCTCTGCCCTGCACTGTCTCACTTTATGCTGTGTTTGTGATTCCCATGTAGATCTCTGGCAAGAGATTGTTTCAATCTCCGATCTTTTTGCAGTTGCGTGTAAAAAGTAGGGGCCAGAGAAGTTTGAAAGTGACCCTTGTACGAGGCTATAACCTGGAGTCACTCTGGCTCTGTCTCTTACAGAACAAAGTGGAGGAGCTAAACCAGCGACTGAGGCAAGCTATGGATGGTCAGTCTTTAACGCTCCTACTGAAAATGTCATTAATAAGTGACTTTTCCTTTTAGTCCCAGCAGATAAAACTAAGCGTAGTTGCAGTGAAAGTTTGGATTTGTAGCTCGTCTTATTTTATTTGAGATTTCTTCATCGTTCTGTCATGAACGCTCAGTCGTCGTTTCAATCGATCTGTAAATGTCTTTTCCTGCTTGTCTGCGCTCTTCCTCTCATAGACAGCAGGAACCTGCCGTTCGGTCGGCCTGCTGTCCTCTTCCGTACCAAATACTGCATCCTGCACCACAGCGACTACATCAGTGGCTACAGTGAAACTCTGTCCATGCCCGTCTGGACATCGTACACTGCCAGCAGACAGGTACTGCTCTCTCCGTCCTCTCTGTCTTTCAGTTGTTGGAAGTACAAGCTTAGGTTTAGTTAACTGTTTAGCAGATATTTGAAGTTCATCTCTTGCTTCCAGCACCATTGCTACTATTGGGGAAACTTCTGAGTGCCTTCATGTCACTGATTTCACTACAGACTTTAGTTTAGTGGGGTGTAGCTTAGGAGGTAGAGCTGCTCATCTACTGATCAGGATGTTGGTGGTTCAATCCCTTGCTACTCCAGTTTTCATGCCAACACACTGACCCAGGAAGCTCTCTGATGCATCTGTCGGACTGTGAACGTTCGATGGAAAGCACTGCTTGTGTGAATGGATGCAAGTTGTATAGAGCAGAGTAGAGGCAGTGCATTTAACATTCAGACAGAGAAAACACCAACTCCTGTGTGAGATCTTAATCTCCGATTACCATGCTCAGGATTTACTGGTTACTGGTCTCCAGCTACAGACAGCAAACAGCAATCTTTATGCCT